CATCCGATGTGGTACTCACCGGAAGACTGATCACAATTTTCATGCCTGATATTTCAGTCCACTGTTAACTACGAATGGAGAAGATTTGTTAACTATGAGCTAGTTACGAGTTGAGCTGGTAATTTCTTTAAAAAAAGAAATGAATTTCGTGGTCACTAAGCAACTGATCATCTGCGGATGCTACGAAAAAGTGCAGAAAATCTGCCAGCTGCATAAACGGACAACACTGCGAATTCCCAACTACTTCAGATGTTCTGGGTTAGAAAACTGGTGTACTTTAAGGAGCGCATACGCCTTTGGGAGCCTCTTCTCTGTGAAGGGAAAAATATAAAAAACTGAGCAAAAAAAGGTGCAAGTAACATTAGCTGGGATTATATGGATGGGAGATATACACCAAAGGAGAATGGAGAACATGCCGGATGCATAAGATAGTTACGACGCACCTTTGTCATGAACAGCTTCGATCAGTTTGTTGGCATCATCATTAACACCGAGTTTTGAGTCGACCGCCAAATGATCACGAATTGCATCGCTGAAACCATCGGAAAGCAGGAACGGATTGGGCCAGACAGCTTGAACACCAAGTCGTCGCAAATTCTCCAAGCGATTGGTTAGACCGATGAAATCACCAACACCGTTTCCATCCGAATCTTGGAACGATGGTGTCCAAACCTAAAGCAAACATACCTTATCTCTGGCCAGTAATTGACGACAAAGGTCTTTTTTTTGCTTGATTTCAACATTTAGAAAAAGCCTTAATTCGACTTTTTGTGGGTTTTTTTCTAAATTCTTTACACGGGTTCGTTCTAATTACGAAAAAAGCATTAAAACTGGTCACAGGCATATCGTGGCTTTCTGAAGTTTTGGGGCTCAAAATCTTTAAAAATTATGAGGTTCAAAAAGAGGTAACTGGCATACAAAATAAAAACCAGTTTTTCATTTTTTTTCAATCAAACCATGACTTGAATGTATGCTCCGCTTGACGAGTAAAAATCGTGTCTTATCCAGTGTCATGAAGGCAGCTCTTTTTCAAAAATTACTGTGGACGGGAAAGGAACTGAGCCACATTCCACTTTACATCTGCATATGAAGTATTACCCAGTATACCACCAGCTCTTGTTGCTGGATCAGTTTGACAGCACATCCACTGTGTATCTGCCTCTCAAAGCAGAATGCACCTTTCTTTTCTTAATCGCCTTTTCGTAGACAGCATACATCCTTTTTCGTGGCAGCTATTCTTTGCTGGCTTTTCACAAATTTTCCGCAAAATCCTATCGGAAAAAAGGACAGTCCGAAAGAAACAAATTGCATCGAAGCATCTGCCATATTTCGCTTGATGGTTGGGTGAACTCCCGTAAGGCTACTGACTATTCCGGAACGTGTTCAAAAAAAAGAAAAAAGACAAAAGAGTTCAAGAGGATGGCAAAATTCACTGCTGAAAATAACATGCTTTCGTAAGCAGCAAAATCGTCTCAAGACGAAAAAAGCTGCAGACAATATGCGTTTTTGCATTTTATCAGTAATGAAAAAACACATAACAAAACTGTCACTACAGATTCTAGGTCATCACAAAGCCGTTGAGTATTAAAAGAGTACTTGATAAGCAATGGCATTTTGCCACCAGTGCGGCAATACTTTGGGTGCACATCGTGGACTGAATACAACCAGAAGAATGGCAGCCAGGAACATCAAAATCCAAAGCACCCAGAACAATATGAACAGCACCCATCTGCAAACAAAAAGAACCATGTATGCCGGATCTTCATACCAATTTTCCTCATATTTCTGGTAATTTTTGGGTTTGGGAATAATCCAGTCGCTTTTATTTCAACATATGTGCTAGGACCAGCTACGCTGTATTGTGAAAATTTAGAAGCACGGTCCTCCCAACTGAGCAGCTGGCAATTTTACCATTTGCTTTGACCACTGCTTCATCAGTTGATGGTCAGTTTACTGGGACTTCTTCCGAACGGATGACCAGCTCAACTGTTTTTTTTTTCCGACAAAAAAATTTCGCAAGGCTTTAGACGCCTGACATGTTATTAATGTGTACTGGACATCATCACCTCTTT